AGTTAGAGGGGTTTCAGGTATAGAAGGAAAGAGGAACAGAGGGTTCCCCCTTCATCTTTTTTATATCCTTCGTAGTAGACCTATAGGATTACACCAACTTATATCCAACTTGCACTCCTATATGCAACTCCTCGTAATACAGTGCCCTATGTCCTTACACCTAGCGTTACAAGGCAAGGCTCTTATATAGCCTTATAAGCTATATAGCTAATTTATATAATGCTAGTTAAATATTAACTAATAGAGATATTATAAAAGAAAATTACTATTAAAACTAAACAAAATAAACAAAACTATAGAGTATAGCCTAGAAATAACAAACAAAAAGTTAGAAAAGCCTTAGATAGTTAAAATCCTACTAACTAATTTTTGAATAGTAATGTACATTATAATATAGGTTAATAAAGATTAGTTTAAGGAAGAGAGGATAAGGGTTTATAGAAACTAGGGGAAACTTAGTAGTATATAGTAACAATTAACAACAAAATCTACCTCTAGACAAGACTATCTGCCTCTAGAATATGCTAAATTAGACTCTAGCTCTAACTACTAAGCTAGGCTAACCGTTATGAGGTATGGATCTTTCGCGCTAAGTGTAGAGGAGGTTGATAATTATCTAGCTAAGTTATTAAAGCAGTGCTGTGATTTAAACAGGGAGATTTCAGCTATATGTAGCAAGACTATTCTAAATTTGTAGACATTATTAGCAATTTAGATTACAAATAAGGCATGTTCATTGTTTGTAATTATGTGAATGACGGCTCACTGCACCCATCTCTTGCAATCAGGGCGGAAAGCTCGGAGGAATATTTTGCATTCTAGGAGATGACATTGCCTGATTGGTATAGGTTAGGAATATACTATAATATGATTAATATGAGTAGTTCACCAGGAATCACTCCAATTGACTATTGCTTCCAACTGCTGACTTTGCTTACCCCAACCTTGAGCGAAGCGAAAAGTTGGTCACGACGATTACTCGATACTTGCTTTAACTATGCCCGTGATCCAGGTGAATTATATTCCTTGGCTACGGGATACAGACATCATCACGAAGCATTTTAAGGACAGGCTCTCGGGAAATGCTGATGGAAAGAGAAGGTTTGGCCACCGATATGGGCAATAGTGACGTGGGAGATTAATGTGGCCGCTTCGAATGCGGAGAGAACCGAGAGACTGAGGCGATCACGGCAGTTGAGAAAGCCTTTGCCGTGTAAAATCGTCGTCCGCGGGCTCGAAGGCGTATGATGGCTTGTTCTAGAAGAGTTCCCGCTCGCCACAAACGATAATACCCAGAGAACTAGCCAGGGGTTCGAGGCAGGGCAAGAAGAATACCCTCAAAGAAGAGGGGTATACCGTTCTCCAACCTGGGTAATTCAAATTAATATCAGCCTTTTGCCCTAGTGAACACAAGCAATTTCGACAACCCCGCTGTTCCTGGGCAAATCTGCCGGGGACCGACGGGCCGATGGACACCAGCCACTATCTCCTGTAACTACAAGCTTATGATGTGGGTCAACAAGGCTTTAATACCCTTGTCATTGCTTAACTGGAGACAGAAAAGAGGTCGCCTGGACATGTTTGAAAGAGCACTATTCTCCTCTTCTGCGTTACGGTATACAGTATGCTTGTGTATAAATATCTCATAGTGTCGCGATGGGTTCGTAACGGGTTTCTCTCGTCATACTCACTCTGCTTTCTCGTCATTTTCTTAGCCACAGTGCTCCAGCCATGGCACAAAAGCTTGTTTTCACAGCATTGGCTGCCATTCTTCCCCTAGTCGCAGCCCAGCAAATTGGCACTCAAACACCAGAAGTTCATCCCAAGCTGCCGACTTGGAAATGCACCACAGGTGGTGGCTGTGTCCAGCAGGACACCTCTATCGTTCTGGACTGGGGTTACCACCCGATCCATAAGGTTAACAGCCAGACGTCATGCACGACCTCCAGCGGTGTAGATGCCACATTGTGCCCCAATGAGGTCACATGCGCAGCGAACTGTGCTATCGAAGGTGCCAACTACGCTGGCAGTGGCGTAACCACATCTGGAAATGCTGTAACGCTTAAACAATATGTCCAGAACAACGGAGTTACCACCAATGCCTCCCCGCGAATCTATCTCCTCGGCTCCGATGGCAACTACGAGATGCTCCATCTCCTTGGACAGGAGCTGAGATTCGATGTTGACGCCTCAACTCTCGTCTGCGGAGAG